TGTTGGGTCTCTGTAAATAATGTTAAAAGGAGTTCGGTCTAGACCTGCTCTATTTGTAAAGTGTCCTGAGATAACTTCTGTTATGAATTGGTGCTATACAAATAAAATTGAATTGAATTGAATTGAATTGAATTGAATCCAAACACACAGTCACAAAAGTTATCTTTAAACAATTTTCAATTAAGAGAGCTATTGTTTTGCTTTCCTCAGTCACAAACTCAATTTAAAAGTTAGAAGCTAAAAAATAAAAGCTCTTTGTTTAAGATGTGTGAACTCCACTGAAGCTGCGGTATGGGACAGAGAGGAGGGGAAATGTGTCAGAGGTATTTTTTACTATAATGATGGGGCCCATTTGAGGGCTCAGAAACATACACATGGGAAGAAGGGAGTAATTACTTCAGGGAGTGCTGCTGGATGGTAGGATGGGAAAAACAGCTTATCAGTTTGCCTGAGGTCCTCGCCCACCCAAACACTTTGTCACTTTTGCTCACTCGATGTCAGAAATTAGTTCTCGTCTTCCCTGCCTGGCATTCCATGCTCTGCCTCCCTGCCAGGCTGGGCTCTCAAAGTTTGAATTTGATTACCATTACACTGCTGCTCCCATGACTTTATTTACAGTGAATAAAAGTGCCTTGTTATGTATAAGAAGTTAAACATTTTCAATCAAGGCAGAAAGAGTGTGGGGGAGAAGCGAGGGACATCAGTTGGAGGTTTTTGTCGTTGTTACAGCAGTTTGTTTGTATACCGTACTGAGGCTCTGCTGTATGTCAGAAGTACTCACAGCTAACAAGGATGTTCTGGGAGGCCTCCATTTTCTTGTTGTCAGTCAAGGAGCATTTGTATTCACCCGCGGCCTCCCTGCTGATCGCATTCAAAGTGTAGATGTCCGAATTTTGCACCAGCATTTTCTCACCCTGAACAGAAGGAGGAGAAGAAAGAGGAGACTGTTAGCTTCTGCCATTCTAATATGATATGAGGAAGTGAGTAGTAAATAGGGTGACCAGATGAGAATGGGTGAAATTCGGAACATGGGAGTTTGGGGGTAGTCACGTGTCGACATATTTTGAGTGAGGATGATATGAAACTAAGTGTCCTGGCTGTTTTTACAAGACACATGAACCATTACACACATGACAGGTATGTTAGTCATTTAATTGTCTTCTCAGCAGCTAAGATTGTGGTTCAGCTGTGGGAGACTACAAAAACATTTTCTAGATACTTTTAATTACAAATTCCTCCCATACTGCCGATTACACTCTCATCTGGTTTGAAACAGGTTGAATGACATCAACAATCCATTATTTATGAAAGGCTAAGCAGTGCAGTACTGCAGTAAAAACACATCAATAATTATAATATATACATGTAATTAAACAGGAAGTAATTTGAAAGTAAAGTGTAAAGTAATTTTGATTGGAATATTTTCACAGATTCAGAAAGTAAAAAAACAACTTGATCTACTAATTTATGTAAACTAATTGAATATAATAAAAGGGTTCTCTTATTTGAATTTAGTCTTTATTCTGGTGACAGCAGCATCTACATACTACATTATTTTATTAATTATTCATGACAGTTTGCTTCAAAATACAGAGTACATTCAGCGCAGCATTTTCAATATTACTGAGTCATCAAGTCAGGTCTCCACAGTGTTTTTGCCTTTAAATCCCAAGTCAAGTCGAGTCTCACAGTGTACAGACAGCTCTCGTTTTATCTCCTTCATACTATCTATAACTATAACGGTGAAAGCTGCAGTGGGCAACTTTTTGTCATATTCGCTGAATCTTTCACTATATCCTGACAGTAGTACATAGTACAGATAATCTGTGAAAAAAAAATCAGGTTCCTCTGGCTCCTCCTATTGCTCCTAATAGGATTTGCATTAATGGTAAATGAACTGTACTTATCACCTTTTGTAGTCTTCTGACCACTCAAAGCACTTTTCCTAAATGTCACATTCATCCATTCCAATATTAATGGCAGAGGCTTATCACAAGCAGACAGTAATTCATACACCAATGGCACAGCGAGTAAAACACTTCTTCAAATTCTAGTATCTGCTCCACTTTCAAGCCAATTTCAAAAAAAGCTAATTTGTGGTAAGTGGTAATAAGTAGCTGCCACAGTCTGGATGGTGGCTGAGCAGACAGCAGCAGTGCGCTGCTTGAGGTTGAAGTCCGGGTTCTGACTGACCTTGATGTAGAAGTAGAAGGAGCTAGGTGGAGGGTTGCCGTCAGCGTGACACTTTAACGTCACATTATCTCCTTCTACTACGGGTCCCTTGGACATAACTTGGAGGCTAACCTTCTCTGATGGATCTGAGAGGTTCAGAGAGCAATGGAGGGGGAAAAAAGCAAGCGTTAGTGTCAAAGCTTCCATTGACTTCGATTGAAATAATTCACATTCACACCAATGTCAAGAAAACAGATGCATCTTTTTGTGAAGATGAAACCACATTATTATCATCACTGATTATAATTGTTGTTGCTGTTTGCGTTCCCAGAGACACAAATTCAACAAATACTGTGCAAAATTATTCCCTGGGTGTATACAAATAACTGTATTTATTGTTTTATTTGATTTGTGTGTCGTTTGAAGGCATTGCAAACTTTCATTTTGTTGTACAACATTGTGTTGTATAATAACTACATTTCCTACATCCTTGATAATCATTCCATTTCAAAAAGGTGACCCTATCAGTCTCAGCCAATTGTGTAGACCACCCTCCTCACACAGGAATGAGCTAGGAAGAAGTAGTAATAGCTTACAAATGAGAAATTCCACCATGAACCTGCCGCTGCCGACACCTCCCCCGCTTTCATTTATTGATCCGAGCCCTCACTCCTCTTCAAACTTCAGGGATGTGATCAGGAGCACAAAGAGTGTGCCAACTGGAATTCCCTGCTGGAATTCCCCCAAACCCTCAAATCCTGAAAAATCCTTCAGCCGGCAGCAGCAGAAAGCTCAACAAAGCACATTGTTCACTGCTTGGCCATTATGTGTAGCTTCCAGAGCCTTCTGATAACAACAAGTTGTTCAGGCCTACACACCTCAGCACAGGCTGAATAGAAAACACTGCCATTCACACACCAAACCATGGCTATGTGGTAGATTTATTTTACTGTTAATAAAGACAGGATAAGTTTCCCTATTTCAGAGCTTATACATGTATATGATCAAATAAATCAAATAAAAGTATTTCATTCTATCTGCATTACACATCTCACAACTAGACTTGCTCATGATCAGCTTCCTTCACTCTAAAGTCACTGCTGGAGTTGGCTAATCAGAGCAGTTTGCAGCATTTAAACTGGAAAATGGAGCCTTCTATTGTCAGGCAATCAGTCCAGTATAGTATCACATTCACGTTAGCTTTTTCAACTCAGCCTTTAACTATATTTATCAGAAAGAAGCTGAGGAGCAATTTTGTAATCATGGTGTATGTGGAGAGAATATGCCTGATCTTGGAGACTGAAATTAATTTTCCTTTATGAAAAAGCTTGAATTTAAATTAAAATTTTGAGTACTGCTCGAAGAAACTGCAAGAACACATTCATGCCATGCAAGACGAGGGCTACATGCCTACGAAAGGAAATATCAGTTATACAGCCTGATGTCACCTCAGCAAAAATATAAAATCAGTGATTGAGTGGGAGATTTTTGATAAAACTTTTAAACTCCTTTGAGAAAATTATTGCTGTTAAAGCTGCAGAAGGTTATTTTTTTAATTTAAAAGTTTAGAAAATCATCAATAACCATCATATTTGCTGAAATCTGATTTTTTTCACTGATTATCTGTCTCATGTACTATCAGGATATAGGATAGAAAGGTTGAGCAAATATGACAAAAAGTTATTTTTTTTTTAAAGTTACCTACTGCAGCTTTAACCCATTTAAAAATATAATGGTCCAACTTGAGTAGTTATTTATAAATTAATAAACCATACATAAAATAAAATCACAGCAGCTATTTCCCATATTTTAAACAAAACCTTAGTAAAGTCCTTGATTACATCAGTAATCCGCCCAGTGCAGTGATAATCAAACTTATTACCAATGATGGGATAAGGAAGTAATAAAGAGTCCAAGTTGAATTTTACTGAAATAAAGGTCAGCATGATAGCATCAGCAATGTATTGTTTATTCTCCCTACATATATAACATTACTTCAACTGTGTTCTACTCCATATTTTTCCCCTGCCATGCCTCTATGCCCCACCTGGGGGGCCCTCCCCACAGTTTGAGAACCACCAACTAAACAAATATCAGCACTACTTGTTGGAAGTGTAACTCAGACCACTCAATACTCTTGCTGTGTGTGGGCAGGGAGTACAAACAGAAGCAATAAAGTTATGGAGCCTGGTGGTGGCGCTGTATTCCACTCACAGTGAACGGGAAAGGGTTCCAGCTCGGTCTCCTGGGTGGTCAGCTTGTGTGTGGACACGCAGGCAAAGACCGCACCGACGTCCTCCTTGGTGGCTGCATACTGGAGGGTGGAGGAGGTGGTGGACAGGCCTGTGGCTGGATCCAGCTTCAGGCTGGGGGTGATCACAATGTCTGCAGAGAGAGGGATGGACAGTGCAGATACATAGAACATATTTAGTGGAGCCTTCAGCGGCAGGTCAAACAGCATTGCAAACACTTTTGGTTTAGCTGCAAAACCAGATGGGTTGGGTTTATAGTGCCAAACCAGTCCAGATGATGGGATGTCTAAGTTGCCTATTAGGAGCCGTTCTGTCTTTACTGTCAGGTACTCACTGACTGATCCTATACAGATCCTTCCTTGACAAGTAAACAACAGTGAATGGTGTATTTCTATTGCTATCTATTCCTGTTGTTTTTGGGTAAACACACTACGAGAGATTTCACTTTCACTCTCCTGTCACTGTATCCCCCAGGGGCATTCCTGCATGACAGCATCCTGTGTGGTTTGACTGTCGGATGGTTTCTGGGTGTGTCGGCAAACACACCAAACGTGGAGTTACCTTTCCCGTCGTCTACCAAGGCCTTTCCATTCTTCTTCCATGTTATTGTAGCTGCGGGGTTAGCCTCTGCCGCAACACACGTTCCCAGCTGGACAAAACAGAAAGGAAGAAAACAATAAAATATTAAACAGAAAGCAATAGAAGTTCACACTGACTGTAACTGACTGTTTTAATTCACTTCAGTCACTTAACTGCAAATGCTAAGATACAGGAGGACCTGACAGATACAATTATTTAATTCAGTCTGGTTCTATCTGTATGGAAGTGAGGTTGGGCATTTATTAAAGCTCTTAAGACTTGAATTTATTCTAATGCAACAATTTTCATTGGAGTACATCAAATATAACATTCTCTGTGTTTCTGCTAGTCTAAACATTATTTCAGAGGCTGAAATGAATAATTGTGTAGGAACAAAATAGCTCCTATTAGGGGCTTCACTCTAAAACCCATTTCAGTGAAGCCCTCATTTCTCTGTCCTGGGGTTGTATAATGTAACGTCTGCTTTCCAGCATTAACAGGAGAATGTTGGATGTGGGCCAGCAAAGACAAACAACTATCTCATTCAGGAATGAACTAGTTCTTGTGTTCATAAGCACGCTGTCTCGTTGTTACATTTTGATGTAGAGATTGAAGGTCAGCAACGGTAGCAGAGATATGCTGTGTGTGAACCAGATAAGGAGTGAGTCATAAGAGCATTCCTTTCCTCAAACCCCTTGGTTTATATATCCTGTACTACAGTGAGTGAACATGATGTCACAAACATTGTTGAAGCACATATCTGATCATATTTTCTCACAAAAAGTTCAATTACCTGGTCAGAAACTCTTTGGGGACAGTTTACCCAAAAATCAATCGTTTTGGTGTGAGATGCTGAGTTTTGGAGATATTGATTCCATTATACCGGAGAGAAGGCTGATATCTCCAAAACTCAGCAACTCACACCAAAACAATATAGATGGATAAATAACACCACAGGTAAGAGGGAAAATATGTATTCTTGATTTTAAGGTGACTGTCCTCAATCTAAATCTATAAATCCAGAGTCTATGAATATGCATTTGAAAATGTTAACTGCTAGACCAAAATTGCAACACCAGGCTTGTGTAACTGTGTATTTAATTAATTGGTGCATTGTTGCAGCCATTCCCTGCTTTTCATTCATACAGCTGCACACATTCGCCACTGGTCTCAGCATGGAGAATCAGAAAATTTAGTGTTACAAAATTTGTTCCGTGGGTATAACAGAGCACTGATACTAGATAATTCTAACCATGGTGGCTGAATGATAAGAGGTGGAACATGCCCTTATCAGCACTGTGTCAACATCTGATCCGGACTGCTGTCAGTAACACACAAATGCAACAATTCCCATGTTCCACGCTTAAAGCCACCTACTAAACTGCTTATTGTCAGGTATGATAAGTCAATTCAGATACACATATTGACCAATAGAGGCAACAGCCTTACAGTAAGCTCGTTTCTGGTTGGGCTTTGACTCGATGGTATAAGTAATTATTTTCACAATAGCAATAAACAGAACTACCATCAGGGGTGTCAAGGGGTACAAATGATCCTAGCCCCAGGCCCACAGGGGGCCCACGCAAAGCTCTTTTGTAAACCCTTAAAAAATACAACAACCTACTAATTTTTAATCTAATCTAATCCTAGTAAATTAAACTTTTGCTAACTCAGATTAATTGTGTCCCCTAATTCCTAACGGCTTGCCCGGCAATAAGAAATATAGTCAAAACATACATTCAGCAGAAATGCTTTGTAAACAGGTAATACATATCCACGCTGCATCTCAGAATAATAATACTGCTTTGGCATTTGCTTTCTTTCAGCTTGAGGCTTTCTGGCTTATACTTTGATGCTGATCGCTCGCTCACAATGCTGAGCGATCGTGAATGTTTACAATGTGGCGCATAGAGGAGCGCACTTTTTCTGAAGCACAGGAAGTGACTGAAATCATTTTTGAGTTGTCAGCATTGATCAACAACCCTGTGAACCCCCTGCATGTATATTATGACCATTATGTGATGTAGAGCAGCAAACCTATTGTGCATTTAGGGAAAGTGTGTGTGTGTGTGTGTGTGTGAGAGTGGCTTTTATTGCTGGTAGTGTTTCCATGGAAAGTGTTTCCATGACTGGAAAACTAGTCTCTAAATTACCAGGTTTTTGTGAGAATTTTTAAACTTCTGGCAATGTCTGTTGGTGTTTAGGAACACACAATTTAGCTACGATTAGTCAATGAATTGATAATTAAATTAATAGTCAACTATTTCAAACTATATATAATTGATAAGTGAGTTTCTCTGAAATTCTCTGATTTCAGCTTCTCAAATGTGAATATTATCTGCTGTCTTCAGTCCTCTATGAAAGTAAACTGAATATGTTTTTCAAATACTTCAAAGGGGGTACATTAATGAAAAAAGAACCACTGCTTTATACTATCCCATAGAGGTTCTTATCATGTGGTAGGGTTGACTGTGAAGGGGCAAGTCACATTAGCCACTGTTGGAAAATGTAACCCTTTGTGACCTTTTTGTAACTGAGTTATTACATTATCTTAAATTTTTTCAATGACTGCAGCTCCTATTTCAGTGAGTCTGTGAATCTTAAAGTGTAAAAATATGTAAATATCACTTGGCATAATGGATGCTATACAAAGTCTACATGTCAGGCTCTTATCAGTGTAAATGTATTTATCAGGAACTATAACGCCTCCTGTGGCCAACTATAAATGGAGGCTTTTGTATAAACAGATAATGACAATATTCTAAAACAGTGATATACAATATGTCTTCATAGTATAAGATATAACTGTTGACAAATACTGTAAATTAATCAATCTCCTCGTACCTGCATAAAAACTACATTATAGTATGTAAACCATTTATTGCGTGTTTATATACTGATTATGAATATGCTAAATAGGTGGGGTTAAAGTTCAGTCTTGCCACTTCAAAAATGCTCCAGAAATAATGATGCCTTGTGTCTTTGGACTAATTATTTTTGCTGATTAAAGGACTCCAGAAAAATTATCTATCTAATGCCAGTGTTTGGTTTGTCCGTTCTGGGCTGTCCGTACTGTAGAAACATGGCATTTCAACATGGCAGACTCTGCCGGAAGATAAAAACGGCCCATTCTATGATGAAGAAAACACAACTATTCTTATTTTCAGGTGATAATACACTAATAAAAATATTATATTACACTTCTGACAATAGATCCTTTGGGGCTTACACACTGGACCTTTTAAGAAGCGGCACATGATTAGTATTTTTACCTGAAAATGTCTGATGAATCACTTCCTGCATATAAAGATATCTATGTCTCCGTCATCCCCAAACTGGTATCATGTATGACTTGACTGATGTGAGCTTACTGTACTTTTACCAGTCATACACTCTCACAATCTAGATGACTCCTGTCTTTGACAAAATGCTGGTACTACCCACCTGATATTGATTTTCACGACCAAAAATTGGTACAGTACATGCCTTCTAATTTATGAAGCATCTGGCATTAAAGCTTGAATTCAGCAGCATGGCTTACTTCATTTCTTTATGAAAACCTGCAAACTGTCGGACTTTTGCGAGCAAATGAAAATAAGACCTCTGCTATTCCACGGCTGAGAGAGTTCAT